TAAATTTAGCTTTTAAATTATCAGTCACCTTTAGTTTTATCACACACCTGAAACAAAATGAAGAGAACGGAATATTTTTACCTCTTACTAGTTTGAAAATATTATACTGATACAAACTGAATAGATGTTTTGAATATTAAAGTAGCTCTTACATTTGACTAAAAACATTTGGGACTATTTCTTATAGATGTGACCCTTGATATATTACTGCAAGCGGCATGAACTCGAAAGGTTCTTGACAGGTTTTTGTTTCATTTGAAATTTAAAGAAATAAACGCATATTAAAATTGCAGAGCAGAGCCTCGCTGTTCTTTATTCTTAGCCTTACCTGATAAATTTTATAATATCAGACACTAACATGATATTCTCTATTTATCGCTCTAGAGCAAAATCTCTCATAAAAACCGAATTCTTTGTATCCCAACAGGTGTTGCTCTAAACAGGTTGTATAATAATTATATCTTAATGACGACACTTCTTTGCACATCATATTTATTTTATTTGACCTTCATTTGCTTCATAAATGGTGTACAGTTTTATATATTATGCTATTTTAAATAAAATGGAAAGTGATGAATAGTTAATCCACTAGTTTATATGCTAATCTTTTAGTTTTGCTCAATTTATCATGCAATGGCTGTTAACTGTAGGATTAAATTTGACAGAAATCTGCTTAACTTTAGCGATTAGATTGCGATGCATTATTCTGATATCAATGGTAATGGCAATTTGTTTTGTTTTTACATACATATAATGTATTCTTTGCAAACTTCAAGAGTGTAACTTATCAAAAAACTTTAAAAAGTGCGTTACTATTCACACTTGTAGTAGTCCCATGTGTTGTTATATATTGACGTTTTCTGTATTATTTTCTGTATAAAATCAATCTGGAGACATTTAAATTATATTTATCAACTTCACAAAGTTTTAACCTCCAACGTTTTGAGGGAAAAACCCCCTCTTTATCAAGGAGTTTCTGGTTATATTTATAAAACACATTTTTATCTTCTTGTTTTTTTCCTGTATAGAAAACATTGTGTAAGTCAAGAAGATAAAAATTTTGATTTATAAAAATAAACAGAAACTCCTTGATAAAAAGAAATATTTATTATTTCATTTAGATTGTAGCTATTTTCTTAAAGCAACTATGTCAAACTTTCTTAACATTCACCTAACATTACAACAAGGTTTGACGTAACTGCGTCTTTATTATCAGACAAATTATTGATAAAACGAGCTGCTTCATGACAAACCAACATAGTGCGTTTGCGACCAGCATGGATCCAGACTTGTAAAAGGCTTGGTAAGCAAACAGCATGGATCCTGATCAGACTGCGCGGATGCGCAGGCTGGTCTGGATCCATGTTGGTCACAAACGCACTATGTTGGTTTTGTCGTGACGCGGCTCAAATGATTATGCCTCTTAATGGCATGGTAAGATGTATTTTGTAAGCCCTAAAAAGAAGACAAATCCTCGTAAGTGAGTTATAGTTCTTTTAGTTAAAAAGATCAACTCCCTCGGGCGTTTTATTGAATGAAATAAAGACTTGATCATAAACAGTATTGATAAAAGATTAACAAAATCGCTTTAACATAAGAAAATAATTGACCGAGGAGACAATGTTACAAAGGCGCAATCTTTATATAGTTAAAAGAGATTTAAAATATACGGAAAATGCATTTGTAAAAGAAAGACCCAGTTTCCTAGTAACAGACAGACAACATACATACAGAAAAAAAACATGTTAGCAAACAACTCAGGACCAAAATACAATAGAATACAATAAGAATACATGAACATGTAATAAAAATACAATAAGATAACCATAATTATTCATGGAATAGAATATATACATTCAACTGCATTATATATAATGTTGACTACATTTCCGTGGCAAATACATGTATAATGTTGTTACATCGCCAAATGTTAAAACAATTACGTTTTGACATAGATCTTAAGAAAATAAAGAAAACCATTTCACTCTTTAAGAATTGTATCTAAATGATGAAGCAGTGACATGCAGAAATAAAGAAATGTACCCGTGAGAGTAAAATACTTGTATGTTCATTTAATTAATTTATCTTTCCGCGCGGTATAACCTGTAATATACTGGTGTGCCGCTAAACACACATAAGATAAACAACCAAAATACAATGTTTCCGACTCTGAAACAATGAACAAATACGACGTTAAATAATGTTTTATAAAAGGATTTAACCCTTGGGTTGCAGGAATATGGAGAGATTCATACAGTGCTCTATTTTTATAACCAGACCACAGCATACAAAGTATTCTGCAAATCATAAAAATGAATATCTGCACTTTCTACAGTTTTTACCTTTTAAAGTCTTTTTGTTGAAGCCGCCAGAAGACAGAATCAAGTGGTGTTCCCCTTATAACTGCAGTCTGCAGTATTGATATTGAATTTAATGTAAGCAAATCCGCAACTTGTTTTAATCAGCTCTCAAAATATAATGTGTATGTTGTATTTCATTCCTTTATACATCACGAGTCTTGAGCATTTTGGAACAATATTTGTTATATCAATTTCTTTTATCATTAAAAATCATTCTTCAAACAGGCTTTCGTTACTGACACTATAAAATATTTTGTTTTGTTTTTTTGCTAGAGGGTTTGTTAGTTTTGAAAAGAAGTTTCAATGATCAATCGTTGTCTTCTCCGAAAATGTGATTATGTACGCTCAGATTCAAACAAATTTAATTCAAGTATGTTTTATCCTTATAATTTTAATTCATAGGCGATCAAATTTCATTACTAATTTTGCAGTGTGGCGCCGTTATATGTCGCAACACCGCTAAATGTCGCATTTACCGCTAAATGTCGCACCATTGCCGCTAAATGTCGCAACCGCCGCTAAATGTCGCAAAAATCATTTGCCGTTAAATGTCGCAATGTTAACGTTAAATGTCGCACGGATTTCCCCTACCGTTAAATGTCGCAACACTATCGTTAAATGTCGCAGGATGTTGAACTCGAGTTTTATATAAATCAGCGGATCTGTGGATTTTACAGATACAGCGAGTGTTGTATTTTTAGGCATTTTACAAAACTTTTTCTTACTCATACTATGTTGTTATTGGTGGTGGTCGTGTTGGCGGCGGCGGCGAAATTAAAACGCTTTTAAGGCAAAACTTAGAAGAATTAAAATTACCTCTTATGAAAAAGGTAACAGAAATATTTCATGGATTTTTTTGGTTGAAAATATGGAAAAATATACTGAAAAACATTACAAAAGGAAAAAAGATATTTCAGACGTATGTATAAGTTACCCGCCCCTGAGATTACCCCAAATAAGTGGCTTGCCCGGCTATAGACTACACGTGAAAATCAAATAAAAAACAAAAAAAATATAGAATTCTATACCTATCAATGAAATTGTCAGTGTCAGTTCTAGCTAGGCGCCGTTGAACGTTTTAATAGCCAGAGCAACAGAAATAAATTAGTGTAGATGTGATATATACGCGCTGCATTTTGAACAATCTTATGAATATTTTTTTTCTACTTTTGCAATCTGTTTTTTTTTTTTTTTTTTTTTTTTTTTTTTTTTTTCAATTTTGTTATTTTAGTCTGATGCTGATTTTTTTAAAAATAAGTCAGTGTTCATGTAATTTACTTTTTTGTTCACATTTGTTACAATGTCACAAATTTGTTTCCTATTCTAATTAAAATCTGGGACCAAAATTTTATTATTGTTCCAGTTAAAATATACCAACCAGGGTATGAATTTTTTAAAACTAACGCAGAGATATAGATAAATCTTCATCTCTAATAAACGTTATTGCTATGACGAAACTGGTATTATCTTTTTCTAAATTTATATACTATTGGATGCACGTTAACTTGTGTGCAAGATTTCAGATTATTCGCTCACTCTATTTTTCCAGTATAAGTGCAAAATGACCCAAAAATGAAAAGTGGTTAATGCTGCCCTCACACATAAACCACGACCTTACTGCGACCTGAAAACTAGTAAAATAGCATTTTTCTTTCGAAAATCGTTGGTTTTCTTTCAAATTTCCAAATTTCTCTCGTAGAAAATTTCTCTCGCAGACGGTCCGGGGCTCTGCGTTTCTGCGACTGTTTTGTGCATGTTCAAAATAGTCGCCGACGGTCTGCGACCCTGTGCATCCTTGGGTTCCTCGCTACGACCTCGCTGCGTCCCTGCTGCGTCCATGGCGACTGTGCTGCGTCCTGTGTCGTAGCAAGGTCGCAGTAAGGACGCAGTAAGGTCGCGAGGTATGTGTGAGGGCAGTATAAACGCTTTTAAAACCCAAATCGGACAAGAATTACACATAATCGCGGATTTATATATTACATTGTAATTAAGATCCTTGACAAAATAGAATTTATATCGAAATCAAATCAGAGTACATATATTTATTATATACCTATAAATGAAATATTGAGAAATATTGATGAAATAAAACGCTTATTTTCATTTTCGTACTTCACTGTAAAAAAGTATTTTAGTGAAACATATTTTCTGTGTATTCACTGGTGTCTTGCCGGACTTCTCTCTTTTTTTAAATTCTGCTAGTACACAAATTTAAGGAATAGTCTTCTAAATTGTAATTTAAGAATAGAGACAAATGTATATAATAAACAGAAAATTCAAGTTTTTTCTATAAATACATGATTTATTTTCATATTGTGGCATGAAAATTATCACATTTCACTCGTGGATACCGCCACTCATGAAATATTTATTCTCATACCACTTGATGAAAATAAATCGTGTATTTACAGAAAAAACTTGAATATCCCCTATACATTTTAACATCTTTTGTATATTTGTCCTGCAGTTTATCTATGTACGAATTTATTTTTTATGTGTTTAGGTTTTAGGACCTCAGTGGAGATCCTTTAATTAAATACCTTAACAAACTTATATATTATAAACCGTTTAACTTTAAAGTCCCAGCTTCTTTCAATATTTCATTTTGATACCACTTCCAATTGTTCTTGCGTCTTAATGCCCGAATGAAGAATAAAAACTGTTTCGCGCATGTCACGTGATGGTGTGCCAACCACGTTAACTTTTTGGTCCTTCCGAATTATCCAGGCGGGGAACAATAGTTTCATATAAATACATAGCAAATTAAATCGTGTGACTGAAAAGAGGTCGGAAAATGTTTTGCTGGCGTCTTTAACGGATTTGTTTAGTAAAGTTTTTTGGTGAGAATCAATCAGTGGTTAAACATACAAGATTGTCCCCGAGCGCTCAAGATTCATGGTCGAGTGATTTTCCATGCACTTTACTGTTAGCTACATTTGCGTGAAGTTTGTGAGAGGGACGTGACGGAAACAAAAGTATGGCAGATTTGGAATTGTTTCTTTTATTTTAGGACGTCGAAGAACTTAGTATCAATCAAAAATGTAAGTTATTTTATATTTTATTAATAAAAACTATATAGCCGAAACGTAATATTATTACACATGAAAATCGGGAAAGCGTTACTGTTTTTTTTTTAGGAAAAAATGTAAATATTTCACAGAAAATTCGGGAAATGTTATATTGTATCACATAAAATTTGTAAATTATCAAATATTTTTCGTAGGTACAATTTGTTTGACACAAAGTTAAATTTTCCATGAATATGGACTTTAATTATAAATTAGCATTAATCATAAGGATTATACATGTTAAACTTTTAATTTTTCATGTGACGTTTCGATCATAGTTATTTTTGACCATTATGATAATTGGCTTATGATATAAAACAAAATACAGATATGAATAATTGATAGTTGGCATATGAGGTCTAACAAAGTATTGACACGGATGATTGACGTGTGATATGTAAAAATGATGGCCATGTTGATGACAATGTTGTTTTGATGAGGACGTCCATGGGTGTTACAGTGATGATGGAATGACGTTGTTCAAGTGAGCATCAGGTAAATTTAGTTATTTATAGGAACGAGCTTTTTTTAGAAACTAGTTATTATTAGACAAATGAGTTTTAACTTTTCTTCGTAAGTTTTATCAGTTTCAGAAGATGAAATTTCAAACGGAACCAATGAACTTGCAAGTAATCATACTATATCGGGCCATGCTTGTGGAACAAGGACAGCACACATTATGCAACATTAAAACAGCATACTTATTATTCAATTTACATTTGGAAAATTTGACATTATAAGAAATTTGATATACATATATACATGTAAATGGTATTATGTCAGTAACTGAAATTGCGTAGAATTACAAAATTTTATTTTAGAAATGAAGATTCTTTGTCAAAATTGAAAACTATGTTTTATGTTTATGTTTATATCCAAGCATGTCAATGTTTGGACTTTTCTTTTTAGCTTTTCTCTTCACCTTTTACTAACAATCCGACGTGCACTAAATTCCTGCCTTTAACACTCGTAAGAGGGGTTGGCAGTATCCAGAGATAGATAGATAGATAGTATATTGACGATATTTTGTGTGCATTGTTTAACAATCTTAGCAAATTTATTTATTTAGCCAATAAGAAAAGAAATGATTTATTGAATTCATATCCTAGACTTTAAGACTATAACTATATTCATTATATTCACTGTTAGACACTTTATTAGTGAACAATTGCTGTTATTCAATATCTAATTCATGTTAATTAGAGCTTATTCTCCATATTGTATAAACTGAAACATTAATTATTCTCTTTCATTTGAATACCAACCGTGACAAAATGTTTTATATGTATTGATGTATAACGAGATACATGTAAATGTATAAGTTAAATAAAATTTTCTTCTTCTTCTTCTTCTTTATATCGATTTTGGTTGTTTTGGTTTCTTTCTCAATTTTTTGGAGTTGGTGTGTGATTGGGGTTATTCGATTTTGTTTCGGTGTATTAGTTTGTCTCTTTGTGTGAGTTGTTTATGTGTGTTATGGTAGATTTTCTTTGTCTTTGTTGGAGTTGTTAATGTCATTTGTGTGTTATGGTTGTTTTTCTTTGTCGAAAATTCTGGCCTTATTTCTGAATAGTTTGGGAATTAGTGGTCGATAAGACAGTTGATTCTTTGCTGATACATTGTGATTGATTTGAAAATTTTGGATTTTGTTAAACCTGTACATGTTCCAGTCGAATTATTATTATTCATCATTTCAAATAGTTATATCAATTTCGTTAGAAATGGGAGACACATTTATAGTTATATTGAATTTTTAGCTGTACAATACCCAATTTTGTATAATTATATTGATATTTAATAGTAATGTGATATTTTTGATAATTATATAAATACATAGGTGGAGAATGCGACAATATATTAAAGATAACATTGATTCTTTTAGATTTAGAACGTGACATTTCTAATAATGATATTCGGGTGTTGAATGCGACATTTTTAACAATTATATATACTGATTATTTTAGATGCAGAATACGACATTTTAGACTAGTATAATATTATTGTTCTTTGGTTTTTCGTTTGTTTTCAGATGACGTAAGAAAACATCACTGGATTACTTTTGAAAGACAAAACTAGATAAAATTGTATATTTCTAAATATTACCACTATATAATTCATACTATTGAAAAAAAAAACGTTTATTGATCATTTAGCAGACGTAAAGCAGGAAATGGCGGGAAGAATCCTAGCAGACGACAGTTGTCGCGCAGATGCAATCATGCACCATATCAGACTGCCCGAAATTACAGGCTGGCCGACACGCTTTCAGCATGTTAGGGTTTTGAAAAAGGAAATCATTACTTTGTAACGTATGTCTTGTCTACTTTTTGAAAAATAAACTTTCGTGTCAATGTAATAATTATGTTGACGAACCATTTTTAGCCCAACTGTTTGAAAAACGAGTAAGGGCTATTTTAATCACTTGGTCGTCTGTTCTCGTAAAACACTTCGTTTTGCATATGTTTCGTGTGTAACTTCCTACCTCAGAATTCATTATGATTGTGTAACGGGGAACATAATCTAAACACCTTTAACTTTAAACTAGATTTTGATTTATATAAGTTCATGTATGCCACTTAGTCAACTTGATTTAAAGCAGTCATGTTTAAAATAATAATTTAAGTTTACAATATATTCTTATCAAATGAGCATAATAATGCTGAGTTATGGGTCATTAAGAACATTTCAGTAATTTAAACAAATAACTTACAATTATTTTTAAAATGCTAAAAAAATGTAACATTTGTTTGACCATGTTACCAATAGTGTATCCACAGGTAGCAGACGACAATAAATTTTAAAGTGGAAATTTGCGACTTCCGGTGTGTCTGCTACTCGATGTTGTGATCTCAGTTTCTTCCCCTGACGTTCAGTATATGAAATGAGGGTCGAGGTAAGTAAAGATATTTTGAAGAAATACAAAATTTAGCTAAACATAGAACAATACATTTTACAGATAAGGGTTTGTGAGTCGCTGATTACACCTTTAACTCTGCAAAATATTTTAAATGGACTTGCCCATCTTCAAATCTGGACAAAACCATTACTCATTTTAAGGGAAAATTTCAAAATATGTACTGACTTAATATCGAATAGTGCAGATCATGAGCAGATGTCAAGGATATGCCGACTGGTTTTGGTCTGCACTGGTCGCACGGGTACATGTATTATTATGCTGGCACTAGAAGGCTGAGAGTTAATCAACATATTGTACCACACAAAATAATCAGAAAGTACTGATTACAGTTCATTAATAATAACAACTTTAATTTGGTACAACGTTTGTATTTTGAAAGTATGTTAATTTCAGATGGACCATGACTTTTTGTAATTATTGTTGCTTTTCTAGAAAAAAATGAACTGAACTATTCTTTCAGAGATCACTCGCTTCCTTAAAGTATTACAATCTAAATACAAAATAATATACATTCAATAACTAAATTCACGAATAGGTAAAAGATATCGGCACTACATTAGTGATTGTGCCGAAGGAAGGGAGATAATTATGAATGTATTACAAATAAGGGAGATAAAAATATCTCTTATTATAATTATAATATAAAATATCATAATTATTTCTAATGCATAATGTGTATTTTGTAATGATCTGGTGACTTTGATTGTGACACTCCGATAACATCTTAATTTTCAATCTATAAATAGATAAAAAAAATTTAACCTATATTTCAGTTTCAGGATTTGAAATTAAAAAAGAACGAAAGATATGAAATGAGCACCGGCAAACTGATCTTGGCATGTTACATCCTTGTCACAGATCTGGAACCTACTGATTATGATGAGGTAAAAGTATATTTTATGAATATATGTATAGATTTGTTTCTTAGCCTGCTGAAAGCGAAAGTCATTAGTCTTTGCCTCCAGAATAGAGCCCGGCCAGCCTGCACATTTGTGCAGTTTGACCAGCCTCTTTACTGTTTGCTAACTTCCAATTTTCATTTTCATGTGATAATTAGTTATAATAATTTATAATGGACTGTTCCTTAAATAAAATGTTGAAAGGTCCATTTAATAATTTCCGCAGGTTAAAACAGCATGCCTCCAGATTCATGCCCATTCTTCATGTAAATTTTGAAAATGTATCGAAAAAAGAAAAATATAGTGCAGTGAACAAGGAAAGTAATTTACACATTACAAACAGCATTTACAGTCAAAAAGGCCAAAATATACAATAATAGCCATTGCGTTAGTCACGCAGTAGAAATATGGTAATGAGAACTGCGACTTCGGTCGTTAAAGACATTTAGCACATAAATAATTACTTGAATCTTAAATCTTTTTACTTCTCTTAAAATCTGAGTACATTTTTCTTAAGTTTGTTTTTCTTGAAATATTTTTGGTTCATCTGGAGGCGTGCAGCTTTAAGGCTTGTTTATAGCTCTTGAATGAGACGTGTATTCATTTGGTTCTGAAACAGTACGGCATTGTGAAAATTGTTTCATGTTTGGGTTTGATAAAAAAAATTCTTTGCTTAACACAGAAGCAGTTACCGTTGTTGTTGTTATTAGTCATGAATTGCTTTGGCTAAGTAAATACATATACACCTACAATGGTATCGAACATTTTTCTTCATTATTCAAATTTGATAAAACTTTTGTAAGTTTTAGTTATAATAAAGGGCGTCCGTTACCGAGTGGTTGAATGAATTCATTGACTTCAAATCATTTTCACCCCCCCCCCTTTCTTTCACTATTATGGGCAGCGACTTTGAATTCATGAATAGTTTCATGTGCAGAGATGATCCACAGAGGTTATCCACAGCTAGCTTAATTGGCAGAGAAAATTGGTGGTTCTACTCGAGTGCCCCACCGTGTCTAAAATAATTTATAGAGGGCTATTTTGGACCTTCTTCCGCCAGTAAAGCTGAAAAATTATTATTGTACCGTCGAAACCATTCACCTACTAAATTAGTGTAATGGATCTGCCCTGCATAGAATTTGGAACAGTCCATTTGAAGTTTATGGGATTTCAATTTGAGCAAACGATAATATATAGCCTGGGCACGGAGTGCACGTACCAATAGGTAAAGGGTTAAACCCAACCAGAATAATTGAACCATTGCAGTTAAGAATATACTAGAAATAATAAGAGAATCGTTTAATGACATCAAGTGAATAAAAGCTTTATGACCACTATTTGAGTAAGAAATAATTATTGGTTTATTGTATTCCTGAATTCTATTATGTGCATTTTTTAATAAGAGTATTGATAACATTGTTGTTTTTTTAATTTGGTGGTTCAACCCGTGCGTCTGCTATCTTTTGCAAGTGAAACGCAAAGTGTTACAAGTGATATGAATATTTTATACATTATACAAGTTAAATGTTGATGCTGCACATCAAAGACGCCGCCAAATGATGTGAACAGTCAATCAGCATTGAAAATCGTTCTCTATTACAGTTGAATATCCGAGGCACAAATCATTTTTTTCTCCATGTTCTTGGTATGTGCTCGTAAGTTGCATATTTTTGTGAAAAAGTAGAACCTAATGCATAAATTCACAAGGTAATGCCATGTCTGAAATTCTGAAATGTTTGTCTGTTGCAACAAAGATTGAAACGTCTGGTCAAAGCAAAATAAATCTTTGTTCATTTTTTTTCTGAAGACTTATTTCCTAAACAGTTTGTTTGCTGGTATTAAGGTGTGCAGCTTTAAAGGAAGGCCCATTATGCCCCAAAAAATATTTTTATTTTTATATCTGAAAAGGTTTTTATTTTTGGTATCCTATTATAGTTTCAAAACAGATATTCATTGGTCATTTATCTGAATAATCTTTTGCTTTTTTATGCTCCCCGAAAAATTTCGGAGGAGCATATATTCGCCGCCTTGTCCGTCCGTCCGTCCGTCCGCTTTTCTTGTCCGGGACATAACTTTGAAACAACAAGAGGTATCAACATGAAACTTTGTAGGTAGATAGATGTCATTGAGTAGGTGTGCAGTGCACAAGAACCGTAACTCTGCCTTGCCTAATTTTTGAATTATTCCCCTTTGTTTATTTTTACACTTTGAACTTTGTCCGGGACATAACTCTAAACGTATAAGAGGTATCAACATAAAACTTTATAGGTAGATAGATCTCATTGAGTAGGTGTGCAGTGCTTAAGAACCGTAACTCTGCCTTGTCTAATTTTTGAATTATTCCCATTTGTTTATTTTTACACTTTGAACTTTGTCCGGGACATAACTCTAAAAGTATAAGAGGTATCAACATGAAACTTTGTAGGTAGATAGATCTCATTGAGTAGATGTGCAGTGCACAAGAATTGTAACTCTGCCTTGCCTTATTTTTGAATTATTCCCCTCTGTTTAGTTTTACTTTTTGAACTTTATCATGGACATAACTCTAAAACTATAAGTGTTATCAACATGAAACTTTGTAGGTAGATAGATCTCATTAAGTGGGTTTGCAGTGCACAAGAACCGTTACTCTGTCTTGCCTAATTTTGGAGTTATTGCCCTTTGTTAATTTTGACACTTTGAATTTTGTCCTGGACATTACTCTAAAATTATAAAGGATATCAACATGAAACTTTGTAGGTAGATAGGTCTCATTGGGTAGAAGTGCAGTGCTAAAGAATCATAACCCTTCCTTGCCTTATTTTGAAGTAATTGCCCTTTGTTTATTTTTACTTTTTGACTTTTGTTCGGGACATAACTCTAAAACTATAAGAGATACCAACATGAAACTTTGTAGGTAGATAGATATCATTGGATAGAACTGCAATGCTTAAAGAACCTAAACAAAGCCTTGTCTAATTTTGGAGTTATTGCCCTTTGTTCATTTTTACACTTTGAATTTTACCTGGGACATAACTCTGAAACTATAAGAGATATCATCAGAAAATTTATAGATAGATAGATCTCACTGAATAGAAGTGCAGTGCAAAAAAACATAACTCCGCCTTGCCTAATTTTGGGGGTTTTGCCCTTTGTTCATTTTTTTATACTTTCCTGTGTCCAAAACCTTCTCGGGGAGCATCACCCGGTTCAACCGGTTCTTGTTGAAAACAGTTTTAATGATTTAGTATTTTGTGTGGAAGTTAAAATACTACTGTGTTTACAGTTTGCGACCTTTAAAACAAATATTTTCACATTCAACCATACTTTATTTTGCTAATAAGCATCTAACATGCTTTAAAGCATTATTTGAACGTTATAATACTTATGTTTGCACTGCCTAATGTAGGAAAAAATGATTAATTTCTGAGGCATAATGTGCCTTTAAGGAAAAACAGTTGATTCTAAGTTGAATATAATTTTTACAATGCAGGTGTATCGGTGATCTTTACATTTCAGAAATACGGAACATGGTAAATTGAGCAGGTGAAGGAATGAAGAAAACACCACCCCCTTTACAGTCAGCAAAATAACTATGCTTTGTTACGGTTTGGAACTACTGCATGCGGTTACAACTTATGTGACAAAGAGATTTTAATCCACCTGAAACGATTTGGTATCTTTCTGAAAATGTCATGTTCAACTTCTGAATGGTGTTTTTTCTGCCAAGTTTAAGAAATATATTACCATGTAACTGTCTAATATTTATGGCAATTATGAAGTAATAGTGAGTTTTTGGCGTAGTAATAAAAACCATAGAAGGTGTTAGCTCGATTGGATTTTCTACATGAGCTTGAAATAATAACACCTTCATAAATGCCTTGATGTGAACAGAATAGAAGGGATATTTTATTTGCTTTTTACATTGTACATCTTCTATTTAACATACTGTACCGTCAATAAATTGAAATGGCAATAATGAGTATAATTGCAATAATGAATGATGCACTTTTTCGCAATGTATATTTCAAGTGGTGTAATAAGTAAAATTTGATCAGGAATGTACATTTATCAAGACTTAATATATATGCAAACATACTGTACCGTTAACATAATGGCAATAGTAAAATTGCAGAAATGAATGATGCGCATTTTTTACAATGTATATTTCAAGAAGTGTAATAACTAACATTTAATAGTTAATAAAGACATACTAGGCCGTACAATGAGAAATAATGATAATTTAACAACGTCATGATAGAAACATCCATTTGAAATTTCTTAAGATTTAGATAATAATAACACCACCAAGAATATCACCACTACCACCAAAAACAACATTAATGAAACATAATGAAAACTCCAACGATGAAATATTTCATCATTTAAAAACATGCAATGATGAAAAAATTAAATAAAATATTAAAATAATTGTAATCACGACCAGAAGAACAATAATGAAATAAAGTAATGAAATAACAATATGAGTGAAATAAAATAAAAACAATAAAATGAAATGAAATGAACAATAATGAAATAAAATGAAAACAAAAATAATGAAATAAGATAAAATAAAAACAATAAAATAAAAGCAAACAAAAAATGAAAATAAAAAATTGAAATAAGGTAACAAGAAATGGAATGAAAGAATATTATTGTCATAAGTGACCATTTAGTTGTTTACCTATAACATGCTTGACCTTAAAGTGACCAGCCTTTGCCACCAGTATGCAGCCAGGCCAACCTGTACGTCCATGCAGATTGACCAGGCTCTAAACCGTTGGCTGACCAATTTCAAATTTGATTTTATTCAAGTTTTATTCCCTAAATTGAGAATGAACGTATTCAGAAACGGAAGCTGGACAAGTCCGCTTCCGATAATATTATCAACCATATACATGATATAATGTGTTCCTTTATATTTTGAAGTATCATTTGTTTCATTTTTTATCTTTTAAATGCTTTAAATAAGGAGTCACAAAGGGTTACTTTATCATTTTCATTTCCAAGCATATCCTCGTGCGTTTCATCGCCGGATAGCCACTGATAAACACTGCCTATCTTGATTACATGTTAATCAACCGTGAGTATCCGACGATGCATGCGTTTATGCTTGTTTTTTGTTTTGTTTTGTTGTTGATTTTTTTATTGTTGTTTTCAGTTTTTATATGATCTGACAAAAAGTTAAAAAAGATGGTGGGGCTAGCATCATTTAGCTTTTTTTGTTCGCCGTTGATACGTTATTCTATCAATTTTTTAACTTTACTTGCCTGTTTTAATTTTTTAAAGTTTTTTTTTTTAATTAATTAATTAATTAATTAATTTATTTATTTATTTATTTACTTATCTTTATTTATTTATTTATTTATTTATTGTTTTGCAAATTACATCAAGCGAAAAGGGAGGCTACTTGTTTTAAAATACAGATTGATCTCCCCTGAAAATTCAAATGATAAGAACGGACCAAAGGAGACTTCTCTTCATTAAAACAAGTATAAAATGATAAAAAAAGTCGTTTTCCCGTCAGTTTACACTCCATTACCACTTGTTATTTTTTTCTAACTGATAACTCTCACACATCTTCGGCACTAACATTAACTTTTGGGGAAAATGACTTTAATAATGCTACTGTAAAACTTCCAACAAATATCAATCAAAAGTAATAACATTTGGTTGTGAAAATTTAGCCGCAAAAGGCATAATGTTTAATTATCAATAGGGAGAGAAGTCGCCTTTTGGTCCAATTTTCAGGGGTGGTTACACCGTTACTTAATTAAGAATGGTCTCCCTTTGGTCATACTTGCTTTTACAAATTCTTCTGCAATATTAAATTTAACATCAAAAACAATTTAAAGGAACACACTATAGTCAAAATTGGATACTTCCTTTTTTACAAGTATACAGAAACTTGAAATATTTCAACAAATTTTAGGGTAGATTTAATGCTTTGATTAGAATCTTTTCACTTAGTACATATAAAAATATGAAAATACTATAGACCTAGTATCTTTACTTATAGAATCACGTTTTTTTTCAAGTATTATTTAAAATAGTTGGCTATAATTTGTGTCACGGGTAAACAGAGGGTAAACCATCAAAATTTTGTATACTAGTTTATATATATCTGGAATATTTTAAAGAACAACATTTGACATTTTAAATCTGTCTTGTATCTTGGAAACTTCTTTGCGTTTGTAAATATTTCTTTAAACAGAATTAGTTTGAGCCTGGAACAATACTTGAAATATCTTGACTTAGTTTGAGTTTGAATCAATATTTGAAATATTTTAACTTAGCTTGTGTCTGGAACAACACTTGAACTATCTTAACTTAGTTTAAGTCTTGAACAATACTTGAAATATCTTAACTAAGTTTGAGTCTTGAACAATACTTGAAACATCTTTACTGAGTTTGAGTTTGAAACAACACTTGGAATTTCTTAACTTAGCTTGTGTCTAGAAGAATATTTGAAACATCTTAACTGGGTTTGAGCTTGGAACAATACTTGAAATATCTTAACTGAGTCTGAGTCTGGGACAAAACTTGAAATATCTTGACTTAGTTTGAGTCTGAATCAATATTTGAAATATTTTAACTTAGCTTGTGTCTGGAACAACACTTGAACTATCTTAACTTAGTTTGAGTCTTGAACAATACTTGAAATATCTTAACTAAGTTTGAGTCTTGAAGAATACTTGAAACATCTTAACTGACTTTGAGCTTTGAACAATACTTGAAATATCTTAACTGAGTTTGAGTCTGGGACAATACTTGAAATATCTTGACTTAGTTTGAGTCTGAATCAATATTTGAAATATCTTAACTTAGCTTGTGTCTGGAACAACACTTGAACTATCTTAACTTAGTTTGAGTCTTGAACAATACTTGAAATATCTTAACTAAGTTTGAGTCTTGAACAATACTTGAAATTTCTTAACTTAGCTTGTGTCTGGAAGAATATTTGAAACATCTTAACTGGGTTTGAGCTTGGAACAATACTTGAAATATCTTAACTGAGTCTAAGTCTGGGACAAAACTTGAAATATTTTTACTAAGCTTGAGTCTGGAACAATACTTGAAATATTTTAACTGAGTTTGAGTCTGGAACAACAATTGAAATGTCTTAACTTAGCTTGTGTCTGGAACAACACTTGAAATATCTTTACTTAATTTGAGTCTTAACTTAGTTTGAGTCTGAAACAATAATTGAAATATCTAAAATTAGCTTAAGTATGGAAAAATACTTGAAATATCTTATCAAAGCTTGAGTCTTGAACAATAATTTAAATATCTTAACTTAGTTTGAGTCTGGAAAAATACTTGAAATATCCTCACTTAGTTTGAGCCTGGAACAATACTTGAAATATCTTGACTTAGTTTTAGTCTGAATCAATATTTGAAATACTTTAACTTAGCTTGTGTCTGGAACACTTGAACTATCTTAACTTAGTTTGAGTCTTGAACAATACTTGAAATATCTTAACTAAGCTTGAGTCTGGAACAATACTTGAAATATTTTAACTGAGTTTGAGTCTGGAACAACAATTGAAATTACTTAACTTAGCTTGTGTCTGGAACAACACTTGAAATATCTTTACTTAATTTGAGTCTTAACTTAGTTTAAGTCTGGAATAATAATTGAAAAATCTAAACTTAGTTTGAGCCTGGAACAACACTTGAAATATCTTAACTAAATTTGAGTCTTGAAGAATACTTGAAACATCTTAACTGAGTTTGAGTCTGGGACAACACTTGAAATATCTTAACTTAGCTCTGAACAATACTTGAAATATTTTAATTGAGTTTGAGTCTGGAACAACACTTGAAATTTCTTAACTAACCTTGTGTCTGGAACAACACTTGAAATATCTTTACTTAATTTGAGTTTTAACTTAGTTTGAGTCTGGAATAATAATTGAAATATCTAAACTTAATTTGAGTCTGGAACAACACTAGAAATATCTTAACTAAGTCTGAGTCTGGAACCATACTTGGAATATCTTTACTTAGTTTGAGTCTTGAAGAATACTTGAAACATCTTAACGTAGTTTGAGTCTAGAAGAATATTTGAAATTTTTTAACTTTGTTTGAGTCTGGAAACAAATTTCAAAAACTTATTTTGAGTCTGGGACAATACTTGAAACAGCTTAACTTAGTTTGTGTCTGGAACAATACTTAAAATATCTTACCCTAGTTTCAGTCTGGAACATTAATTGAACTAGCTTAACCTAATTTGAGTCTTGAAAAACACTTGAAGTATCTTAACTTAGTTTGAGTCTGGAACCACACTTGAAATATCTTAACTTGGTTTGAGTCTTGAATAATACTTGAAACATCTTATCTTAGTTTGAGTCTTTGAGAATACTTGAAATATCATAACTTTACTTAGTTTGATTTTTGAACAATAATTTATATATCTTAGTTTGAGTCTGGAACAATACTTGAAATATCATAACTGAGTTTGAGTCTGGAACAATACTTGAAATATCTTTACTTAGTTTGAATCTTGAAGAATAGTTGAAACATCATACCTCAGTTTGAGTCTGGAACAATACTTGAAACATCTTAACTTAGTTTAAGTTTTGAATACCTGCATTTACTAATGAAGTGCAAGAAAGATCTGGTTTACATGTACTTTAAACATGCTATGCTAAAATCATAATTCATAAGAGCTTTCCGCGCCATAGGTAGCACCTAACTTCATATTAAAGATTGTATGCAGTTGATTGATATCATTGATTTTGTAAACAAAAACAATTACATGTATTTTTGTATGCAAATTATTTTGAAAAACGATAAAATAGTACTGGAATTAAAAAGGATTTTTCTGAACGTGTTAAGTTATCTTTCCTCAATCTTTATTAATAAGATATTATATGATATAATATTTGTCAGATAGAGTAACCTCCCCCGAAAAATACAAATTCTGTTAGGGGCTGGTAAACACACATCTTTCATGATTAAATCTATATGATAGTGTACCCTCCACTGAAAATTGCAAATGGAGTGAGAAATCAAAGGGAAACCACTCTAACCTTTCATTATTAAGTCAGAGTAACCTCTCCTGAAGAAAAAAGGGAAATCACTCTAACCTTTCATTTTTAGTCAGATGGAGTAACCTCCCCTGAAGAAAACAAAGGGAAATCACTCTAAGCGTAAATTATTAATCCAGACAGAGTAACCTCCCCTGTAGAAAACAAAGGGAAATAACTCTAACCTTAAATTATTAATCCCGATAGAGTAACCTCCCCTGAAAACAAAGGGAAATCACTCTAACCTTAAATTATTAAGTCAGAAAGAGTAACCTCCCCTGTAGAAAAAAAGGGAAATTACTCTCACTTTTCATTATTAAGTCAGATAGAGTAACCTCCCCTGTAGAAAAAAGGGAAATCACTCTAACCTTAAATTATTAATCATGATAGAGTAACCTCCCCTGAAAACAAAGGGAAATCACTCTAACCTTTCATTTTTAAGTCAGATAGAGTAACCTCCCCTGAAGAAAAAAAGGGACATTACTCTAATCTTTTATTATTAAGTCAGATAAAGTAATTTCCCCTGAAGAAAACAAAGGGAAATCACTCTTACCTTCCATTAAGTCAGACAGAGTAACCTCCCCTGTAGAAAAAAGGGAAATCACTCTAACCTTAAATTATTAATCCCGATAGAGTAACCTCCCCTGAAAACAAAGGGAAATCACTCTAACCTTTCATTTTTAAGTCAGATAGAGTAACCTCCCCTGAAGAAAACAAAGGGAAATCACTCTAACCTTTCATTATTAAGTCAGATAGAGTAACCTCCCCTGAAGAAACAAAGGGAAATCACTCTAACCTTTCTATATTAAACCAGATGGAGTAACCTCCCCTGAAGAAAACAAAGGGAAATCACTCTTACCTTTCATTATTAAGTCAGACAGAGTAACCTCCCCTGTAGAAAAAAGGGAAATCACTCTAACCTTAAATTATTAATCTCGATAGAGTAACCTCCCCTGAAAACAAAGGGAAATCACTCTTACCTTTCATTATTTAGTCAGAAAGAGTAACCTCCCCTGTCGAAAAAAGGGAAATCACTCTAACCTTAAATTATTAATCCCGATAGAGTAACCTCCCCTGAAAACAAAGGGAAATCACTCTAACCTTTCATTATTAAGTCAGAAAGAGTAACCTCCCCTGTAGAAAAAAAGGGAAATTACTCTAACCTTAAATTATTAATCCCGATAGAGTAACCTCCCCTGAAAACAAAGGGAAATCACTCTAACCTTTCATTATTAAGTCAGATAGAGTAACCTCCCCTGAAGAAAACAAAGGGAAATCACTCTAACCTTTCATTATTAAGTCGGATAGAGTAACCTCCCCTGAAGATACAAAGGGAAATCACTCTAACCTTTCATTATTAAGTCAGATAGAGTAACCTCCCCTGAAGAAAACAAAGGGAAATCACTCTAACCTTTCTATATTAAACCAGATGGAGTAACCTCCCCTGTAGAAAAAAAGGGAAATCACTCTAACCTTTCAGTTTTAAGTCAGATAGAGTAACCTCCCCTGTAGAAAAAAAGGGAAATCACTCTAACCTTAAATTATTAATCCCGATAGAGTAACCTCCCCTGAAAACAAAGGGAAATCACTCTAACCTTTCATTATTAAGTCAGATGGAGTAACCTCCCCTGTAGAAAAAAAGGGAAATCACTCTAACCTTAAATTATTAATCCCGATAAAGTAACCTCCCCTGAAAACAAAGGGAAATCACTCTAACCTTTCAGTTTTAAGTCAGATAGAGTAACCACCCCTGAAGAAAACAAAGGGAAATCACTCTAACCTTTCTTTAGTAAGCCAAATGGAGTAACCTCCCCTGTAGAAAAAAAGGGAAATCACTCTAACCTTAAATTATTAATCCCGAAAGAGTAACCTCCCCTGAAAACAAAGGGAAATCACTCAAACCTTTCTTAAGTAAGTCAGAAAGAGTAACCTCCCCCTGTAGAAAAAAGGGAAATTACTCTAACCTTTCATTATTTAGTCAGATAGAGTAATCTCCCCTGAAGAAAACAAAGGGAAATGACTCTTTCCTTCCATTAGGTCAGACAGGGTAACTCCCCTGTAGAAAAAAGGGGAATCACTCTATCCTTAAATTATTAATCCCGAAAGAGTAACCTCCCCTAAAAATAAAGGGAAATCACTCTAACCTTCCATTTTTAAGTCAGAAAGAGCAACCTCCCCTGAAAAAACAAAGGGAAATCGCTCAAACCTTTCATTATTAAGTCAGATAGAGTAACCTCCACTGAAGAAAACAAAGGGAAATCACTCTAACCTTTCTTTTTTAAGTCAGATTGAGTAACCTCCCCTGAAGAAAACAAAGGGAAATCACTCTAACCTTTCATTATTAAGTCAGATAGAGTAACCTCCCCGGGAAAAAACAAAGGGAAATCACTATAACCGTTCATTATTAAGTCAGATAGAGTAACCTCCCCGGAAGAAAACAAAGGATAATCACTCTTTCCTTCCATATAGTCAGACAGAGTAACCTCCCCTGTAGAAAAAAAGGGAAATCACTCAAACTTTAAATTATTAATCCAGATAGATTTACCTCCCCTGAAAATTGCAAATGGCGTAAGAAACCAAAGGGAAATCAATCCTACCTTTCATGTTTAATCCAGATAGAGTAACCTCCCTTGAGGAAAATGAAGGGAACTCATTCTAACCTTTCATTATTAAGTTAGATAGAGAAACCTCCCTTGAAAATTGAAAATGTCATAAGAAACCAAAGGGTAATCACTTTTACCTTTCATAATTAATTCAGATTGACTAACCTCCCCTGGAAATTACAAATGGCTCAAGAATCAAAGGTGAATCACTCATACCTTTCAGTCAGAGTAACCACTCCTGACAATTATAAATGGCGTTACGGCCAAAGGGAAACAACTCTTACCTTTCATTATTAAGTCAGATAGAGTAATCTCCCCTAAAAATTGCGTAATAAACCAAAGGGAAATCACTCTTACCTTTCACAAGTTATAGTTATAGCGACGAGACTGTTATGTGGAAATATCATGGCCTGGTGCGACATCGAAAGTTTTTCTTTACAGAATATTGGCCGAGAACATTGTGAAGGGAAAACCCGAGATGCCGCCCCAGTAAATGATCTTTCTACATAACAGGTTCGATACATTATAACTGTTTTTTTCGCATGATAAACAGAAATGAGAATTCAATAAACATAAAATTTCAATTTATATTTTGCTTCTCTTCATAAATTAAATTCCCCACTCGGAACCTCGGTTACTTTTTATGTAATGTGTCAAAGACCGTTCTTGTAAACCCCACACCATATGAGCCAATCAGAAGTATGTTGGGTGTTTCTGATTAGTTTGGATAACCAAAGACACTGTAAATACTTTGGACGCGCCAGTATTACGCTAACCGCCGTTTCATCAGCATTTTTAATGACATGCCAAAAGATTGATTTTTGAATTTTTATCAATAAGTCGATTATTAACGGTTATTGTTATTTTCTCGGGGACTTGAAATGGATAATATTGCAAGTTATGCTACTTATGAAAAGATTAATAGAGGCAGTGCCTCCTAGCGCAAAATAACATTTAGGAAAAAGGATGCATGTCCGCTCAATGCGGTTAAGATTTGTTAAAAATTCTTTAAAACTATTCAAAGAGTTACAGAGCAGGCATAAAATAAGTCAAATAGGCATTGACCCATAATTGCGACTATGGGCATGAAGTGAACCATATAGATATTATACAAGGACGTGCCTTGATGTGGTAAATAAATATGCAAAGTTTCTTTGATCTTTTATCACTAACTTTCTTACTGCATCATACCAAATTCAAACACGCTTCACATTACTCCCCTATTAAGCAGACAGTGCAGTCGAGTGAATAATTAGTTAATTAATTAATGCATGACGGCGTAAAAGGGAATGAATGCAGTACACACGACGTCCAAAAATTAAAAATAAGGAGGGTTTTAATTACACGGGCCCAAAAAAAAAAAGGGGGGAAAAAGAAAAAGGGGCCCCCGGGGAAAAAGGGGTTTTGAATAAAATCCGGGCCCCCGCAAATGAATAATGGAACGCCGAGGGCTTTAGCCCGAGGGCCATTATTCATTCAGGGCCGATTATCACCTTCCGGCCCTACTCTGACGTGTATTAATGTCTTTAATACACTTGGTAGATCTAATAGTAGCATTTTTAAAAAAGAAGAAAAAAACGACAATAACAAATAGAAATCTACTTTGAAGTTCTTTGGTTGAAATTCTTGAGTTCTGTACGGAGATGTTTACTGTTTGTGTGTTCAAAGAGGCAAGTTTTATTTTCATTTTTTTTTCGGATTGAACTTGTCGTATTATTTGTTCAAATTTCAACAGTAACAAAAATGTGTCTGTACTAAATACGATGTGCTGTCAACCTACTTTCACTTTTACAGTTAACTGTTTCATGACGTAAAATATGACGTCATTGTTTCAGTTTGTGCACGTGCATATGTTCTGCGGGCTGATAACTAGTTCTCGGCCCCGGGCCGCAAACTCATAATAGGTCACGTGACATTCATAATTAGTTGAAATCATAGGCAATTTTGTTACTATATATAGTAACAAGTGTATTAAATCAAAATAAATAAGGCCTTCCCACCATATCACGTATTTTCAATGCCTTTCATATGCAGAATGTCTTTTATCTCTTTCTATATGGACACTATGTTATTCAAGCTCGTCCCTGAAAATGTGTCTATTTTGGATAATAGTTTTTATTACACAATGAGATTACACTTTATGAAAGTGATCCGTAATTATAGTGCGATTTTTATATATGCATATGGATCTCCTCAACACATATGGAGCTCAAATGCAATTTTGAGCAGCGATTCCTTCGTTTGTAGCCAAATCTCAATAAATGTTTAAATCAGGATTTGTCTGAATGTTAAGCATCGCTCTGTATTG